GCATTTCCACTGCGCACTCAAAGCCTGTTCTTTCAGCCTTTTCAAATCTAATTCAGACCAAAGTAAGCAATTCGCCCTTGTGTTTTGGTTTGAGAGGTGAGCTAGGATTTCAGAGGGTGATTTATTAGCATTGACTGAGCACCAAAGGACCCCTGCACAACAGTGGTTACCGCCAGGTCCCTGACACCCAAACTAAAATTAACAGGCAGGGAGGAAGCAGGTTCTGGTGGAATTGTTATGAACGACTTTTCATACAAGATTGTGAATTGAGTGGAGGTCTGTGAGGTTTTAAATAAAGGGGCTGGCTGAGGAGACAGCCACCATTTATTCACCCATTCCCACCTTTCAGTCTTCCTCTGTGGTGTATCTGATAAATTCCAACTCGTGGCAACCCCTCTTATGGAGACGTGAAACTTCCCTACAGGGCTTTTAATAGTTGGTTTTTCAGAAGCAGAGAATTGGCCTTTCTTCTGAGCTGCCTATGGTTGGACTTAAACCCCCAACTTTTTTATTATTAGCTGACAGATTTAACCATTTGCCTCATGCAGGGGTGTATGTATATCAAACAAGCAAAAAACCAAGCCCACATCCATTGCCACTGAGTTAGTTTCATTGAGTTTCTGGGACGGTAATTCTTTATGACTAACAGCCCAACACTTAATGCATTGCACTACTAGTACTCCTTATCATCCCTTTGAACAATCAGACAAGGTCACATTTCCTCTGAGAACCATTAATCCACAAAGAACTTCTGTAGAGATTGTTCTGCCCTCTGGGTCTCCCCAAACCTTTACACGGTATCATCCATTCTGCCTTTGCAATATGACATCTTACCAATTACCATTTTATATGGTGCATTGATCAAAGTCCTAGCAAGAAACACATTCAAATTAGAATGTTTAAAAAGCATTTAATAAAAGGACTACTTAGAGGGAGATGAGAAGGTTATATAGGGAACCACTGTGCTAATACAATCCCCAAGCATAACAATAAAAGTTTCCTGTAACTACTTCTGAAAAGGAGTAAGGACATGATTAGTTTTGGTTGAGGGAAGCTCATCCAGAGAAGGCAGACTGGAGAGGCCACCTGACAGGATCTGAGATCTTCAGGTGAGATTAAATGACCCCGTAGGGAATAAATACCTCAACCCTGATCCTTCCTCTCTTCCTCTGATCTCCCACTGTTACTCCCCATTGGTAGAACACACTCAAGAGCTAAAGGGGAAAGGAGCAAACTTTACCCCAGTAAGCACCACCTGGAAGGCTGTTAACTAAAGATGGCCAAGTCTCACTCCTGTTTCTGACTCAGTTAGAATCTAAGTAAAGACCTGAGAATTTACCACAAGTGATGCTGGTTTGGGCAGAGCCTAGGATAAGCAATGCCTGAATGATGAGGTTCCTAGGACCAGAGATAATATTGGAATGATGCTAAACCTAGGACAACAGGTGATGCTGATAGTGATGCTAATCCAAGACCACACGGGAAGGGCTATCAATCCTACCCTACAAGTTGGCCACCTGATGTTCAGAGCAGTTTGTGAGTGGTAAAATGTTGTCTAATTGGACTAGAGAGTTCTAGTGGCTTAGTAGTAAGGAATTATTCTGTCAACAGAAAGGTAATCAGTTCAAATTCACCAGCTGCTCCACCGGAGAAAGATGATCAATCTATTTTCATGTGATGTACTATTTCTGAAAGCCCACAGAAGGATCAGCTATGGATTGGTTCTCTCTGATGGCAGTCAACAATAATTGAACAAAGAATATTCAGCCCCAGAAATCAGCAAATTTATTCTGTAAAGTTGGTATATATTTTATGTTTTGCAGGCCATGTATTCTCTGTAGCAACTACTTAACTTTGTCTATTTAGAGCAACACTTAATCCTTGTCTCATTTGTTGTTGAGTCAGGACCAACTCATAGCTGATTGTCCAGTAAGTATTCAGAGGCTGTAAGTCACACAGGAGGAGATGGCTTATCTTTCTCTCAAGGAACTGCTGGTAGATTCAAACTGCCAGACAGGCTTCACTTTGGAAAATAGCATACCTCCTTGTCCACTAGATTGTGAGTTCCAGGCAAACACAGAGAACACAAAATGAGCATAGCTGTGTCCCAGTGAAACTTCATGTACAAAAACAAGAAGTGGGCCATACTTTGATAGGCTATATCTTAGACATAAACTCATATAAGTTTTACCAACTTGGATATGTCCACATTGTTCAAAAACTACTACGACACCATTCGCTGACTATCCGCAGGCAGATGCCAGGAATTAATGTGCAATATCTCTTTGCTTCAAGACAAGGTCTCAAGGAAGCCTAAATTTAGTCTACTCCAGCTAGACCCAGCCCTTGAGTAACCCCCACTCCCTCATTTTAAGAAAACTTTTAAGCTGTCCTGTGTATTGAGAACTGTGCTCCCTCACTTAAGATCCAGAGGTGAACAAGATAGTCCTACTAATGAAATGCCAGTGAAGGTATTCTGGTTGCAAGTGGAAACAGAAAAGCTTACAGAAAAAGCACTCTATTATGGCAATATTAAATTGCTGGTAATCTCAGAGAACAAACAACTACTCAGTAGGAGCTGAAATAGCTCTGAATTCACCCATAGAAGCTCCAAAGATGTGCTCCCTGAATATATAGATAAAGATTTGCCTTAATCTTAGTCTTTAAAGGAAAGGTAAAAGAACTTTATCATGGATAGATCTTGAGCTTAAGTGGGCTTAAAAGCTCCTGCAGATTATTCCCGTCTGTAAACAGGTTTAATAATTGCTGCTCTGGGTTCTTGCCTAGTTATTTAGTAGCAACAAATTTGTGTGTCTTTCTGGCTTTTAGTAGACTGCTAACCTCCTGATAAAGTTATATAGGAAATCCAGTTTCCCATACCCTCCACTACATAGTGGGTATACAACAGTATATGCTATGTATATTGCACTTACTTCTTTTCAAAGCATTCTCAGGTATATACATTTCAGGTTCCCCTCATGATTTCCAGATAGCATAGATGTTATGAGGCCATCTCTTTTTTTTCTTTGTTTTGAGTAGAAGTTTGCAAATCATATCAGATTTTCATTAAATCATCCATAGATATTTTATTTTATAACATTAATTACAATTGATTAATGTCATTAAAATGGAACTCTGGTGGCCTAATGGCAAGCAGCTGTTCTGCAGTCCCAAAGGCACATGTTTCAAGGCCACCAGCTGCTCCATGGAAGAAGGATGGGCAATCTCCTCCCATGCAATTAACTGTCTCTGAAAATTCACTGGAGGGTCAGCTATGGGTCTGGTCTGATTAAACGGCATACCACAACAACATGTAATTAAAAGGAGCTCTAGTAATCTGTACAGAGATGTGCTACTAACCCAAAGATGGCACCTCTGGGATGCTTCAAGCCCATCAGTGACTTCATGAGAGAAAAGAAGGGTAATCTTTTCCCATATGATTTTCTTTTTATTTCTTTTCATGGAAGTTTACAGAGACTTTGGATTTCCATTCATTCATAGTTGAACACTTTTCTCCCTGCCCATGCCTCCCCCCAGTTAACTTTTCTCTTAGAAAAAAAAAAGAAAAAAATTTCATTGTTGTACAATCCCCCCAGTCCACTCAAGCTATGCAACTTTCATTCTGCACTCTTGTCATGACAACACTACCTAATCATATATTCCTCCTAAACAGTTCTCTCCCTCATCTGTTTCAATGCAATATACAATACTTATCCCCTCTACGTTTCCTCCAACTCCAATGTCAGTCCCACTTTACAACAGTGGCACTATGTAGTATTTGTCCTTTTGTGACTGAGATATTTCACTCAGCATAATGTCCTCCAGTGTCACCCATTTTGTATAATATTTCATGAGTTCCTTGTTTTTAAATGCAGCATAGTATTCCATTGTGTGGATATACTAATGCTTCTCTAGCCTTTCATTTGTTGATTGACACTTGAGTTATGTCAAACTCTTTGCTACCGAATAAAGCTGCAATAAACATAGGTGAGCATATATCTGCTTGGGTGGAAGTTCTGGTTTCTTTGGGGTATATTCCCAGTAGTGGAATTTCTGCATCAAATGATATTTCTATTTCCAACTTTTTGAGAAAACACCATACAGCCTTCCATAGTGGTTGCATCATTTTACACTCCCACCAACAGTGAATAAGAGTTCCAGTTTCTCCACAACCTTGCCAGCATTTGTTGCTTGCTGTTCTGTTATATTTTGCTATTCTTTTTGGGGTGAGATTATATCTCATAGTTATTTTGAACCCATGTGATTTTAAACCTCTGAAAACCCACTGAAGGGTCAGTTGTGAGCTGATTTGACTCACCAGCAATGAGTTTGAGTTTGAATGTAATTAATTAATATAATATCTTTATTAATACATAAAATAATAATGCTGTTTTTATGTACCATCTAATCAATTTTTACTCATAGCAACTTTATAAACAACAGATTGGAACCCTGTCCTAACCTGTGCCATCCTCATCATCTCGGACACACTTTAGCCCCTTAATGCAGTCACTGTGTCAATCTATCTCATTGAGGGAAAATGAGACCCAGGTAAATCATTTACCACTCTCACATAGAAAATAATGATAGAGCTGGGAATAGAACCCAAGTCTCCAAAGTGCAGTAGTTTCCCAACTTTAGAGTGATTAAGGCACATCTGGCTGTCTCTTAGTGGTGAAAATGGTTAACAATCTCAACTTTTAACTAAAAGATTGACAGTTTTCATCTACTCAGAAAAAGATGCCTCAGAACAAAGACCTTGGACATCTAATTGGTGGCAATGGAGGAACATCAATCTTTGGAAAGTTCTTCTCTGATGCACATGGAGTTTCCATGAGTCAAAATTGAATTATCAGCAAATGGTTGGTTGGTTGGTTGGTTGGTTGGTTGGTTGGTTGGTTGGTTGGTTGATTGGTTGGTTGGTTGTTTGGTTGGCTGGTTGGTTGTTTGATTGGTTTAAAACACACCAAGGAAAGAACTTTGCTGCTGCAGAACTGGAGATGAAGGACAAGAAACAGAGCAAGTATCCCTTCATCCAGGTGAGCTCCTGAGAGGGCAAAACTCCTAGCAGCCCCAGGAGAGAAGCAGAGAAAGTTTCCTTCCAGATGACTCCAAAACCACAGAGAATTTAGCTGTGGGGCCAGAGAAGATGGAACAGAAGCAGGTGATTCCTCCTCTAGTGTCTTTCCAATTGGCTTCCCAGCCACAGTGAACATTCTCACCAGCACGGGGACCAGAGAAGAAAGACCAGAGATAGAGCAATTTCACTTCACAGCGAGCTTCCTTCCCAGCTCCACTGAACTTTGCCCCAGGACCAGATAGGAAGAACCACAGGTAGGGTAAGTTCCCCTCCCCTACCATACTTAAATGTTGAGCTCCAAACTGAAGTATTCAGGCAGGATGAATTCCTCTTCCTTCTTCTGGAGCAATGAGATCCCAAGCCAAAGTTGTCAGAGTTAGGACCTGCTAGGTCTTGAGGCAAGAAAAACTCTATCACAGCAATTATACAGAAGACACAGTCTACTTCACTCCCTATACAAAATCAAAGCAAGATACCATTCCAAAAAGTGATCAAAACACAGAATCAATGGATTTCCTGAAGCCACAAAGTCTACTGGAACTTTCTGACACAGAATTCAAAAGAATAATGGTTGAATATTTTCAATGGGTTGAAGAAAAACTCAAAAAATTGCAGGATTCCACAAACAAAAGCCAAATGGAATTAAAAAACCAAAACATAACACAATTATTCAAGGCAATTTAGATCAAATAAAAGAGGTATTAGAAACCTTTGAAAAATAAGAAACTGCAATCCAAAATATTAGGAATAGAGTGTCAAAAACTATCAACATGTTGGAGGGACAATTGAGCAGAACTGAAGAGAAGAAGCCCAGAATAAGAAAAATAGAAGATATAGCACTGATCTACTAAAGCAAAAAGTAAAATCATAAAGGAAGGGAAATGAAAGCCTAAGGATAACATGGCCCACCATCAAGAGGAATAACATGTCTATAATTGAAGTTCCAGATAAGGGGTGGAGAAAAGGTACAGAGAGGACTGTGGAAGAATAATAGGAGGAAAACCTTCCAGGTATCACAAAGAATGAAAGAGTATACATGCTGTAAGTGGAGCAAGCCCATCTAGAACAGACCCCAAAAGAGAACTCCAAGGCATACCATAGTCATATTTACCAGAATCAAAGACAAGGAGAGAATTCTGAAAGTTGTTTTTGTTGTTATGTGCCATAGAGTCGCTTGTGACTCATAGTGACCCTATGTACAAGAGCTCTAAATGCTGTTCTATCCTGTGCCAACCTAGCCATCTCAAACGCACTTATTCCCACTGTTCCAGTCACAGAATCGATCCATCTCA